CAGCCTGATTCCCACCTCCAACTCACCCTGTAGACACGACAGCTTACCTTACCCATTATCTTCCGGCCGTTCATCGCAGCCAGTGCCGCGGCCGCATGCCGGTGCTCGTAGAACTCCACGAAACAGTAGGGATCGTTCCCAGCTGTCTGGTGAAAGAAGCAAACACAGGGTTACCGATGCAAACCTCTTCACGCTGCACCCTCGCCATTGCCCTCCGCTCTTTATTCGTTACATCGAAACGCCTCAAAGCACGCAGGCTTTTCTCACTCTGCACTGAGACTGTGCACTAACAACGCGCCGGGAGGTCTCCGTTCTGCTTTACAAATGTAAAAGCACGGCACAGCAGAACTGTTCAAATCTCACCTACAACACCCACATACATTAACCTGCTCGCTGCCTTTCACAATATCCACCCAGCCTCGAATTTAAGGTCAGACAGACACGATGCCCGAAGGACACGGCTGTGATCTCCAGCCTGCTTACAGCCCTTCAACGTGGCCGTGCCGTCTTTCCAGCGGGTTGCTGAAACACCCAAGTACGGCCCAAAGCCACGAGCTACGAGAAACAGGAAAATCGTCAGGCGCAGGCTCTTACATCCATTATCATTTTGCAGTTTTTGCATGGTCCGATCTGGCTGAACAGCTGGAGGATCAGAGCTTCGGTCACATCTCTCGACAGGTTCCCCACGTATCTACGAGACCAAATGAAAAGTTAGAAGCCATCCCGACGCTCCGGCCTGCTCGTCGGTAACTGAGCAAACACGGCCCAAAGCTGTTCCCCGAACACCCAACCCGCCCGGTCAGGACGTCGCAATCAAGCGTGCGGCAGCACTGCGTGGAGCAACGGGGCAGCAGCTGTTTGGTGACAGCGCAGCGACAGCGCCTGTCCTCCGTCCCACCCAAGGTCTGCCCTTCTGCGATCGTGGCCCGTTTCAAAGCCGAACGGAGAGCCAGCCGTGGACGACTCGAGCCACCAAACGGATTTCCGTGCATAGGAACGGCAGTTACGATAACCACACGCGGTCATCGCTCTCCAAGCACCGCTGCCCTACCTGCCCAAGTAGCTCAGTCTGGTGTTTAGCAAGCACATGACACAATATTCAGTCAGTTCCTTTTACAAACAGACTTATCGTTTGAAAGCCTTAGATCTGCCTGGAACAACCGAGGGCAAACGGCTCGAGCCTTGGCATTCCCCTGTCCTCCTCCATTCGAAAGGCTCAGCCTCTTCAGGCGCAAACAGAACCCGAACCCCGACTCCGATTTGGGATTCTGGCATTCTCAGCGACGAAGATCGTGCCTGATCCGCACGCGGTGATGGGGGTTTGTTGTCGTCCAGCCCCAGTCACGGGATTTTTAAAAAAAGCACACCGAGAAACCTCAGCTCCGAAGGTGTGGCTGCACCTTTCCGCAAAGGAACGTCCAGTGGCAAACCGCAGCCTCTGCCACGAGAACCCCGGCCACGTCGCGCGGCTGAAGCCACGTCAATAAATCAGCGATCCTCCCCGTCCCGCTGCAGGAGTTGCAAAGACGCGGTAAGAAAACAACAAGGCAGCAAAACCAGGGACTTCTCGCGCTCGTCCTGTTGACTCAAGGCCGCGAACAGCCTTCCCGAAGAGATGGACGCGCTCCAATATTTGGTTTAGCAAGGCAGAGCATGGGGAACAAGACACACAGCCTCTGTTTTCCTGTCAGAAACGACCGGCAAGCCACGTAGTAATAATGTGACCAACTATTTTCGGTAGGACCCAGAACTGTACTCCTGTTTAAGATCAACACGTGCTTCACCAGCATCAGATCTTCACGGGCACCCTCTCGCTCAACAGAGCGAGCAGTTCCTGCACTTCTGATGGTGTTTCCTTACACAGAGCAGGGTTCAGTGCACTTCCATTAAGGCAATTATCTTCGTGCCTGATAACACCAGGACATCCTACCCCGCATCAAGTTCAACCGAGACGTCCTAACTACCCAGACTTCTTTTTTCTTTAATATTACCGCCATCTGGATAATGAATAAGCCAAGGCACTCAAGCGATGAGACCCTCGCTTGACCTTCTAGGTCGAAGTTTAATAACGGTTTACCTGTAACCGAAAGTTTCCTAGGCACGGTGTCTACACCCCAACCTTCGCACTCGCGCTGGATTTTCACCCCGATTATCAGACGGGCATCTCCCGAGGCATTCCCTGCCTTAACACTGGATTGAACTGGAGAAGGCAGGATTTCGGTAAGCAATCTCCGACAGCCCCAGGAACCTCTGCATGGCCAGACCTTCCAAAATGCATCCCCTCAAGGGACCAATTGCAGCAACGCAGAGTTGTATATGCCCATATACACAGAGTATGCGTAGCTGCAGGCTAGGTGTTGACCCGCTTGCTTCCGCCCAAAGTTAAACCCAAATCTTGGCTCCTCACGCCCAGCCGTGGTCAAGACGTCCCCGAACGGCCACGCAAGCAGTAACGACCCACAGCACCAGAGTGTTCTTTCTGCCAAACGCTAAAACAGGGACGGGGAATCGCAAAGCACACGGGTCACTCGGAAAAACAGCTGAACGTCGTACCAGCTCAGCAGCAGCATTTTTGTCGTGTTATTTGTCAGCGTAACCTCATTACCCGTGGCTGCATACATCTGCCGCCTGCTCCCCGCAGCCAGCAAGTCTGGAGAGGTTTCTCCAGTCCACGAGCTGACAAACTACAAGAGAGTCCCGCGATACCCTCCGTGGTGCCAAGACGGATGGGAAAAACACAGAGCCGTAACTCCCCCAAACATAGCCCCCGTGTTACTTTCTCTGATAAACCCTCCCCCTGCTACACTCGAGCTGTTTGACCACCTGAACCTTCCCACGGAATTTTCCTGCAGCTCTGTTTCCGTGTAGCTGGCACACGGGCAGCGTCCGGCACACCCGGACCTTGTCCTGGACCAGTCACGCGAGAAATGACCCAGCGCCGAGGTGACCCTGCCAGGCAGGGACAGCCGGTACGGGAGGAGGAGATCTCTCCTGCGTGACAGTTCTGTCGTCTCCTGCACCTTTCCCATCCCTCCCTTTCCTGCTAATTAGATTCTCGTTAATGAGTCACTCGACGTTTCTCCGCAGACGAAGGACTACACTATACAAGGCAAACTCTGCAGACAACCCCACTGCTTCACCGCACAGGGATCCGTGTATCAGGCTTCCTGAAAGGTAACACCTACGGGGTGTTAGCACTTCTGCATCCTTTTAGGCACACAAAGTAAATTAGAAGCGCACGTATTCCGCAAGCATCTCCACGCATACGTGAAAATACAAACAAGAGGTCTTTGTGAAGTTCAACAACACTGTCTGCCTTGTAACCGCTCTTATAATCCCTGCCGCTGAAGAGCGGCTTTCAAGGAAGGTCGCCAGCCACGTGAAAACGAGCGGCCTATCCAGGAAATCATTTACATAAGTAACACGGCTCCTAACGTGCCTCGCAACGCTAAGGCTCCAACGGCCCCCTTCAAAGAAACAAGTTACGTGGAAATGCCAAAAACAAGAAGTTACTTCCAACAACGTCTGGAATCTGTCTGAGAAAAACAACTCAAACGTGCTAAGGGAACTCCAAAGGCAGGCGCGCTGCAGACCACGTCGGCGGCCCCTCACGAGGCAGCGAGACGGCGCAGGCGAGGAGGGAGCCCCGTAACCCACGTCCAGATGGGGTTTCCGTAGCACTACCTGCAGAAACCCTCGTGCAGGCTAACATTTAACACACACTTCAGACCCGAGCGGGGAAGGGACTACTTTCAGCCGCTTTTCCCTCCTTCGAGCTGTTCGTTCTAAACCCAGTCTGTGAACTTCAGCCGGTGACAACCCTCCGGATGACTCGAGAAAGTCGCTCGGAGCGATCCAGAGAAATACCGTCCTCGGGACGTTGCTCAACACTCGGTTCCGCAGCCCACAAACCCGGCCGCGTTTGTGCAACGAGCCGCACGTGCTCAAGGGCAGAGAATTCACTCCCTCGAGCACACGCCGTGTTTGGCTGAGACCGCTAAACTCCACACAGCCGTTTCATTGGGACGGAGGGGGGATATTTTTCTAAATAAACACGCAAACATACCGACAGGTCTGACCCTTGTTTGCAGATGCCAAGAATAGTTCCAAAAATGCAGGCGCTAGAAAGACAACGGGATTGTAGGCACAGGGAGGCGGGCAGGGTGTTTACCGCTCAGGGAAGCCCGGACCAGAGGAGCTGGCGTAAGTCACGTAAGAGTCTTGTTCTCCTCCACTCGCTCGGCCAAGTCGTTTACCGACCCTCGGGGTAGGTGCGGCCACTCTCCACGGGCAGAACTTTCCCCTCACCTTGGAACGATTCCCTCTCCCTCCTGCCTTTCCTCCCCTCAACTCCTGCACCGAAACAGAGATCAAAGCTCGTACAGAGGCGGAACAGCAAGACCGGAGTCTGCGATTTCCCCCGTCTAAACGAGGGAAACCACTCCAGAAAACGCCGGTCAGAGAAAAGGAGAGCAACACGCCGCGAAGATGTGCGCAGGAGCTCTCCTGCGCCTTTTGAACGCTGCAAAAGCGGCGGGAGCAACAGCCTGGAAGTCCAAATCCCTCTCGACAGTAGCGGGTGTCAGCTGCCCAACACCGCCAGGAAAGTTGCTTGCAATTAAAGGAGCCCCATTGATGCTTGCGACGTGGCGAGGAGCTGCCCCGCAGCCACGCTTAGCTCCTGGGGAAGTGACGGGCTGGCAGCAGCGTGCTTGGAACACTTGGACCAGCGCCGAGCCCACGGGCACCCCGCTTAGCTCCGCTGAGCCGCTGAACATCGCCAAGGGGGCTCCGGGCAGCAGCCCCAGACCCCTTCGTGACCTGACGGCGCCGACGTAACATAACCAGGGATGGCAAAATTCAACCAGATGCTCGCAAAATCATATAGGGAGCGAGAAGAGGGGGGTGCAACACCCCCAGCCCCCTCCCCTTCAGAACTGAGGTGGGGAGGCCCGGGAGGAAGCCTCGGGCTGGGGTGGAGGAGGAAGGCGGCGAACAGCATGGCGGGGGGCAGCACCGGCGGGGCAGGGGCCGGGGAG